TTTAGAGGTTGTTTATGCATTCCGAAGTAAAAGAGTGCAAACCTATTATCTTCACAAGTTATATTTAATAAGTAATGTCTGTCATGAGATGAAACAGTTGCTGGTTTTTAGAAGTTGGTGGGGGGCTTTTTACATTAAAATGCACGTATTTCTGCTTCAGCATATATTCCTTGCCTGGCTTTGCAAAAAGCATCTGCAATGACTGCAATTCATGCAGTTTTTGGAAGACAAAGATTGTTTAGTCTGGCAAAGATTTGGTTAAGGAGTAATCTAATACCAGCCTATAAGTACTTTAAGGGCAGCTACGGAGTTGATGGAACCAAATTCTTCTCAGTGGTGGCAGGTGATCTAATAGGGTAGAGTGGCTATGGTGGGAGGTTCTGGAGGCACATTAGGGAGTAATTCTTCACCAAGAGCGCTGGAACAGGCTGCCCAGAGAGGTGGACATACACCCATACTTGAATTTCCATACTTCAAGGATATCAAGGCCTGGCTGGACAAAGTTATGTCTGACGTGATCTGTTGATGGTGATCGTCCCACTTCAATAGGCAGTTACACTCTGGAGGAAGACCTTACCATGTCCCTTCCAACTAATATATCTATGATTCAGTGATTCTATGATTAAGGTACTCAGGCTGGTATAGTCAGTATTGTTGCCATAGGAGAAATTGTGGTTGAGATTTACCTAAATCCTAGCTTTGAAAATATCTCCTTGAACAACAGTGACTTGAAATGATTATTCAGCTACAGGCAGAGAAAAAATGCTTACCTGATTTACGTCTTGTATAGCCTCAGTAAATTCAGATGGATTACATGACAGTACCGCAGATTTAAAGTATCAAATGCCCGAGGAAGGATGAAGGAATTATTATTTGGATAATGTTGGAATTTTGACAACTGCAACATTAACAACAAACTAGGCAATATCTCATCTTCCAAGATAGTATTTAAAAAAATAATACACCGAGGAAACTACGTGGAAAGATTTTAGAAAGTTAAATTGTTCCACAATCCTAACACAACGATAGGGTAAAGCCAATGCTGAATGAGTCTTGGGCCATCTCAGTATACTCTAGGGCAACTCGAACAGTCCTCTGTACCTACGTTTAGGCACTGGACTGAAGCCTTGATTCCCTTTGGATGTGATGGGAATTGACAGACACAGCTCACACGTAATCCATAGGTCGAGGGAAGTGGTTATTCCCCCTACTTAGCACACATTATACCGCATCTGGAATACTGCATCCGGTTGTGGAGCCGCTGCACAGGAAAGGTGTTGATGAGCTTGAGTGAGCTCAGCATAGGGCTGTGAAGATGATTGGAGGGCTGGAAGATGTAACCTGGTGGGGGAGGCTGAGTGAGCTGGGCTTGTGCTCTGCACCTGGGGGGGTGCAGCAATAAAGGGTGTGGTAAAATAGCTGTTTTCATAAGATAGGGTAGAAACATAGATAATGATAAAATCTTAGGTCACTTCCAATGCTGGAAACCCTGCTCTTGTGCAGCATCGGACAGATTGCAGATGGATTTTCCCCCAGCACAGTATACAGATGCCATCTGTGGAGGGGTTCCTCCTCCCTCCCATACTGTGGAGCCTTTTATTTTGTGTAGCAAACAGTCATATATCTTCTCCTGACAGGCTGGGACGCCATCTCTGTCATAAATTCACCAGCACCAGCACAGGCTTTAAGTGCAAATCTCAGTAGAGCTGACACGTCCTGTTCAGGATCACTAACTCCTCAAATGCAACATTTTCCACAAGGCTCCCAATACATCTTGTTCAGCCTGGAGGAGAGACGGCTTCAGGGGGCCTAACAGTGCCCCCCGGTACCTATGGGGAGGCTGGCAAGAGGTACGAGCCAGGGTCTCACTGCGCTCATGGCAGAAGAACAAGAGAAGGTGGTCAGAATCAGGGGAGGGTCTGGTGGCACATAAGGAAAGCTTTTTCCCAATGAAAATAATTAAGCATTTGCAACCGGTTGCCCAGGGAGGTTTTGGGGTCTAAGCTCTTGGAGGTTTTCAAGACCTGACTGGACAAACCCTGTAGTAAACTGGTCTGAATCTGGTATTGTCCCTGCCTTGAGCAGCTGTGTGATTCTGTAATTCTAAGCAGACATCTAATCCGTGCACTGAATCCCTCCTTACTAGCTAACCAACAAACATTAGAGGAGAACCCACACTGAGAAATTCAGCAGAAGTTAATTAAAATGTGCCTTCCCACACTACTGAAAGTAAATAATTTAGGAAAATAATTTAACTTGGACAGATACGGGTTGGAATGAAGCAAAGCTGGGCAACAGGAGAAGGATGCTATTGGAGTAAAAGAACAGCTAAGACTACTTAAACATTTTCATCTGTTATCCTGTTTTTCTTTTCTCAGTGAGTTATATTCCCAGAGTGGATTAATTTTCAATATAACATTATCCTGAGTGTCTGTTACCATGGATGAAAAAGATGGAAAGGGCACAATTGTAAAGTTATTAAACCATTAACATCTATTGAACAGATTATATGCAAGATGGAGTAGAGTCTTACATCACTAAGACAGTTTGTACAGGGAGGGCCACCTCCCTTTTTATAAACATGGCAAGGGCTACTTGTTGCACAGCGTGCTTGCCCTTTAACCTACGTCCACGTGTTGGCTCTGACACCATTTATAGCACGTCTGCTGCCCAGACACTGGGCGCTGTGTACGTGCGTAGGCCTAGGAAGAGTTGCGTGTTCCCAGGCATCTTGTTGAACTATTCTAGCTGTAGGTGATAAAACACATTTGCCTGAAATATACGTCTACCCTTACATTGTACATTGTGAAAATCGTACAAATATATGCTGCTGGTACTATATTCTGGTTGGTCTTCCCATAGCATCCCAGGAGTGACTTGTGTTGCATATTCTGGTCTTTTTATATATAATTCCTTGATCATCTTTCAGATCATGAAATATACATTTATTTTCACCTTCCATGCCTGACCCTGGGCTTAGCTTTCTATTAGACATGTTCCTGTTTCAACCTACTTAGTCTTAGCTCTGCCTAGATGTACATATTTACTCCGTGTCCTGCTAGAAGAATAAAGATCCCACCTGGCTTTTTGTTAACTCATGGAGCGAGGATGGTCAAAGTAAATGATTTTGGAGCACACACCTGAAATTTTGTCTCCATCTGAAGGCAGAACTGGAGATCAGCCAGCCTGCTCTGCAGCGTAGGGTTTGCCATCGGCAGAACTGCCAGGGATTCGTGGTCCATGGCCAGTTCAGTTACTCTTCTGGAATTTGCTGGGTGAAGGGAGGGCAAGGCTAAAGGCCATTTGTTCCCTTGCGGTCTTACCATGCTGTTTCCCACTAATTGGGATAAATTCTAAACTGGGGGGAAAACTAAAAGGAAATAACCTCAGGAATCCAAGTTTCCTACAAATAGGCTTCCATTTAGGAAAAAAATTATGAGGTATATTAGATTAAATTATTATGATTTGTGCTGTCTGCAACGTGGTCATAGAGAAAAGCTGTTGTGGACTCAGGCAGCTGTAGTTCAGCCAGATCTGGATTACGGATACTTAGAGCTGCTGTCAGTGGCAGAGTTTCCTGAGGTTGTTCAGCTTGTCTGTTGTCTGTTCTCATAGTCTAACCCTCGCTTGAGATATTAACATCAGTGCCATGGTGGGATGTAAGGGGGGAAGAGGGAGACAAAAGAGATCACGCTGTTTTTGTAAGGCACTGCAGCGTCTCTCAGCATCCTGTTTCTGAATTTTGCCCTTCCTCTGTCAGTTGATACATGAAAACACTTAGTGCCAAAGAGATGATAGTCTGTTTGTGAGATTCCTCAGCTGGTTTTATAACATAGTCGTGATCACAGCGATTAATCAGTGTAGGTGCAGTATTTTGTACTGCACATGCAGCACAGACATACTCTTAACCTTATCGGTTTCCTCTTCAGAAAGGCTTCTAATTACCTGTCTCCTGACTGTAACCGAAAGGATATGAGTGCTCTAGCTTCAGACAAGATTGCAAACAAATATGTGTTATCTTTCATATTGATTTAATTCATTTTATTAAATCCATATTTTGTGATTAAGAGGGCAGACTGAGGGAGAAAAAATAAAATTAAATCAAAATTTCTCTTCTTATCTGCCAGTAATAATATGCAAAAGTCATACTGGAAGATCAAAGAGCAATGAAATGCTTGTGGTCATGATACGACTTACTGCACCAAAATAAAAAGGATTAGGTACTGAAAAATGACCTCCTAGCCTTTAGCACTTAGTCGAACAGAGACCCTTGGAAATTGTTTCATTGTAGAGACCTTTTCCTCAGTTGGATTTCCCACTGAATTTTCACTTCTTTTTATATTAAATTCTCAGTAGACTCACAGTCCCATTAAAAGTAATTTATTTCACATGTGTTATTTTTCATTTTGCTGAGAAAAAACCTCTAAGTCTTGACCCCATCTTGAAATAAAAATATTATTTTTAGGGCAGTTAAAATATATATATATACATGTTTTCTTTTCAAAATCAGGTGACTCCAAAAAAGAGAAGGAAAAAAAAAAAAAGCTATGGAAAAATGCATTTCTTTGTCTCTGCTGCATTTAGGATGTGGTCATGCCCCAGGAGCCTAGAGAATTGCAGTTACGATGCGCCTGAGCTCAGGGGCCCAACTTTCCGTCTACGTATAAACATTCCTCCCGCTTCAGCTGAAGCATGCACTTCTGGTTTGCGTAAAAAAAATATTTGCAAGAACTCTCCCGAGTAAGATCATTTAAGTATGATTTTGGCCACAGCTATTTACAACTTTGGGCTTTGACTGAAGTGAGTAATTGAATTACGTTGAGCCTCTGAAGTTTGCCTTTTATTTATATATTTCCCCCAATTGTGTGGCTCGGTCTGCCATTGGCTGCGGTCCCTGCAGCCTACCCGAGGGCTCTGCAGTTACATAAGGCTCTGCTGGGAGCCTATATAAAGCCTTTTTGCACGCCAGCAAGAGACAGAATTTTATCAAGATCCAGGTCCCACTGCTTTAGTTCGCACAAGCAGGAGGAGATTTGCTTGAAGATATACCGAAACCTGAACCCGGGCTGGGCTGTTTGCTAGCCCGTACTTCACAGCTGTCAACCTGAGTCGCAAGTAGCAGCTACTGTAAGTAGCTTCTGTGCACTATGAAGAATTTTTCATTTCCTATGCAGGATGACACACATCAGACCGAGAGTCCTTCTCCTCACAGTTTCCTCAGTTTGACAAATCAGTCAGATCCTGTTGGAAGACCAGAAAGAAATGAGCAATTAGCTCAAGTAGAGATTGCTGTACTGGGGGTCATATTTCTGACAGCGTCTGTGGGCAATTTTATTCTCATACTGGTGCTGTGGCGAAGAAGAAAGAAGCTTTCTAGGATGTATGTATTCATGCTCCACCTCAGCATGGCTGACTTAGTGGTAGCCTTTTTTCAAGTGCTGCCTCAACTCATATGGGATATTACAGACGTTTTCATAGGGCCAGATTTCTTGTGCAGAATTATCAAGTATCTGCAATTGCTGGGCATGTTTGCCTCTACTTACATGATAGTGGTCATGACAGTGGACAGATATCAAGCGGTTTGCTACCCTATGGTCACTTTCCAAAAGAAGAGAGCTCTCTGGAACGTCCCCATTTGCACCAGCTGGTCTATATCACTGATTTTTAGCCTTCCACAGGTATTTATCTTTTCTAAGACTGAAATATCTCCAGGTATCTTTGAATGTTGGGGTGAATTTATTCAGCCATGGGGCCCAAGGGCATATGTGACGTGGATTTTTGTAGTTATATTCTTCATTCCCTCAGCAATCCTTATTATGTGCCAGGTTAAGATTTGCAAAATAATCAAAAGAAATATATATGTGAAAAAACAGAATGAATATGAAGTAACAAATCAGAAGCAAGTCCTGCCATCCCGAGCAAGCAGTGTGAACTGTATTTCAAAGGCTATGATCAAGACTGTAAAAATGACAGTGGTGACGGTTGTTGCATATGTTCTCTGTTGGTCACCTTTCTTCATTGCACAGCTGTGGTCTGTGTGGTTCCCCAGTGTCGTGACCGAAGGTAAGATACTCTCTGTCCTCATTCATAACTTCACAGCAGGCTAGCACATTGCTATATTTCTTTGTATTTGCACTTTGCTTTTGTGTAAAAGTTACATGTGATCATTTGAGTATGATTAAAAAGAAATTCCTGGATTGATTATCTACTGTGTTTAATTAGGCACAGAGAATTTCATGTATTATGTGATCAAAACATCACGTAAGTGTGCATTTGGGGTGTGTGTTTTGGGTGATTAATGATTTAAAGATTAATAAACAGCACAGGGAAAAGTATCATCTGCTCCGGCAAAGGTGCAGTCTTTTAGGGGTTTTATTTATTATAGCAGCAGTATTTTGGGTTCATGAGGTGAAAAGGAGTGATTAACTATTCAAAGTAATAAAGATTTCTTATTTGCTGGGTATAACAGTGATGTTATAAGACTTTTTTTTTTTTAATATTGAAATTATGCTGATGAGATCTCTGTAGTACACTATGCAACAGTGAAAAATTGTGAAACAGCTGTTTTATAAAGTAAAAACCAAGCCTGAGAGAGGTATCAAAGAACATCATGTTGTAGACAAGATTAATCTTGTCAAACTTATACTGTTACCTCTTTGTGAAAGGCAGACTCTGTGTGTGACTTTATTTAAGTTCTCCTATTCTCAACTCAAAGATATAAACCAAAGAGAAAAAAAAAAACCTAAAAAAAAAATAGCTCAATTTGATGAAAAAAAACCCTTCTGATCTTTAAGAATTCTTCCAGTCAGTGTGAATTTGAGTCTTATTCCACATACATTTATATCAATATATATATCGATCTGTATTTATCTGCACCTGTATAGCAGGCTAGTAATTGCTTTTAAATTTAGTGCAGCTACATCAAAAAAAGAGCTATATGGAACTATTTAAGTCTGAAATGCATACAATACAGTGTGCTTTGTACCTTCAGCAATTACAAATTGCATTGAATAAATCCTACTATTCGATTAACTTTAATATATGAACAGGTACACCAGAAAGCAGCAGACTGAAAATGTTACTTATTTGTACAAGTGCTTTATTTACTGTCAATCCTTTAACTGTTTCCTTGTAGGTTCGGCATTCACCATTATCATGCTCCTTGGCAATTTAAATAGTTGCACCAACCCATGGATTTACATGTATTTTTGTGGCCACATTCCATATTGTACAAATAAGCAGCTGGAGAACACCTCGGCTCAAGAGGAATCAGTGATCACAGGGAGCATTCATCTCGTAGACAGAGACCCTGAGGAAAACAGTACTTCTGCATAAATGTGGAATGCTTTTGGTGCTTTGTTACATTTGCTGTGTTCGCAAGACGTATCAATATTTTACCACCATCCTTTGTTTTGTGGATAAGGAAGCTGGAAATTTGTCTTTGGTTGTATAAATATATTTCTCCGCAGTTCTGTAGCTTATACAAGAAGTTTGTGTTGTGCAAGCCTGGCTCAGTGCTTCCATCAGCACTGTCCTATCAGAATGAATTCTTGTACAGACCGACAAAGATACATAAAAGTATCATCTTAGATATTTTGTGTCCTAAAGTACTTTCTCTTCTGTGATTCTGGATTTCTAAGTAGTAAAATTTTAAAACTAACTGGTCCAATGAACTGAAACATAATTGGAAAGGAATCTGACATAGTTAGGCTTGAATATGTGTTCAAATTGAACTGTGAATTGTGCATCATTCTGGTGTGGTTGGGAGCAGTTTAAGAAATCTTGAGACGCCAACAGAAAGTCAGAAAAATCCATTGCCAGCTATTATTAATACTTGTTTTAAATTAACTTTTTATATGCTTTTATAAAATGCCTAGCAGCTTAATATCATTTTTCAAAAAAGAATTCAGTGTCCTTGTGACAGCAAGGCCAGCAAGGCCAGCAGAGTAGTAGCAATCCAGGTTTGTGGCTTTACACCGTGGGATTTGATCTTCCATGCATTCCCTGATGTACAAGCAGTTAACTGAAACTCCCCAGACATACACGCACCATGTATACATACTTTAAATAAAAATGGGTGGCAGGATTGTACACTTCCATTTGTTATTCAGACCTATTTTTTCTCACATGCAATTTATTGCCGGAGTGCGCTTAGAAACCCTTCAGGTTCAAATTCAATTATTTCCCCTTCGTGGTAAAAATAAATCTGCATATCTTTATCTCAAAATGCCATTTGCTTGCTAGTTTGTGGGTGTTTTATGCAGGTAGCTATTTATTCCCCTTTCAGTGTCTGCAATCTAATCAAAATATGGAAGGAATATCAGTAGGGCTCTTTCAGGTGAGAATCGAGCTGCATTCACAGAGATTCTTGGTGATACTTGCATATCATCTGCCTACATTATAATACGTTTCATCAGTGCTATGTACATTTCATTTTTATGAGTACTAGCAATCTCAAATTTCAATCGAAAAGCTATAAAAGTGTGTGTGGGGTTTAATAGTCTTTAAATTGTGCTCAAAGAAATACCAATTTAAACTAAATACTGATGGAATTGTGAGAAGTCGTGCTGTACAATGCATAGTTATGCTTCAGGTTAGTGTGTGCTTATATGACTGAATATTCTACCATTTTTATTTCCTGTATAGTTAGACCAGATAGAGGTATGAACAAAATATCACTCTTCTTTATGATGGGAAAAGCTAGTGTCCCAGTCCAGCTGGCAAGAAGAACAGATCTCCAGCAAGTAGGCAGAGGAAGAGGGTTGGTAAAGATAGTACCAGAACCAGACAAGAATGGGAAGAGTCTGTATGAAGTCTCTTATTATAATTGCAATTAATACTTTTTTCTTGCTGTTTTTGTTTTGTTTTTCCTTTCTTTAATTAATAGTTGTTAATTCTACCCCACAACATGTCCCCGGTTAGACCAATTCTGTAACTCAAATGGCAGTGTCCTTATCTGGGGTATGAATGTCTAAGACACAATCCATACTATAGGTTGGATATTTGTTGTATTCAGCCACTGACTTTCTAATACTTTAATTCAAATTAGCTCTCAGTTAGGTTCTCCCTTATGATTTAATCCAATGGTGAATGGTGGGGGTTTTTTTGTTGTTTTTCTACTTCCTTTGATTGCAGTTAGTTACATAGTAAAATACACAGTGTTGAAGGGAACTGTAAATAGAAATGCTTCAAGGAATTACCTGTGTCATTGTACTACTGGGTTTGCAGCAAAATGCACCGAAAGCCTCAAACGGTATACATTCGCGAGAAAACAGGCATTCAAATTGCATGCAAATAGTCATCCAGATCCAGAACTGCCCTAAGTCACAGGACTGCTCGGAGACCACAGTGGAGTCGTGCCATTTTACACCACCCGATCTGGCCTCTGATACTCAAAAAGTAAAACTCCTACTACTTACATTTCTGCATTGCTTATATATTTGTTACAGGCTCTATAAGTAATTTGGTAGAGCTTGATTTCTCAAATAACAGTAGCTCAATGTGTTCTATAAAAGGCTGACAGCAATATTAACTGTCCATCTTTCAGATATTTTGATCATGTAATGAATGAAATGCCAGAACTTCTTGAGTTCAATAGAGAATGCTCACTGTCTGTAATGTTCAAAGCAGTGATATTTTTGTCTCTCAAGTGCTTTCTTTCTGATTTTTTTCATTTTCTTTCCCCTGAGATCAGTCCTATTGTTAAGAAGAAAAATAAAGTTACTGTACTACTGTGTCAGACTACAGGCTATGAACACTTTTAGTTTCAGTCCATCAGGATGTATTTGAAGGGTAGATATTCCTGCTTTTTTTCCTAGCAAAGTGGATGGGGCTGCATTTGCCAGATGTAAGTCTTTATCCTGCACGACCTGCCCTGCCTTCCCCAAGGGCAGCGCTGATCCCTGACACACACACTCAATGGGCAGTTTGGTTCTGGTCCACAATTTTCTGTCAACACTCATTTTCAAATGATGGAAAACTCACGTGGATAAGTCTTTTTTATTTTCCTAATAAATTATCCTTTACAGAACTTTTCTTATTTCTTAAAGAAAAAGACATTTAAAAACATAATGAAATTTTTGTCTTTGCAAATTTGGCAGTTTTCTTGGAAGTTGTAGTTTGAACATCTTGTGCCCTTGTTTTCCTCTGTATTTTGATTCTTCAGCTGGACTCTATTTATTCCAATTCACTGTCACTTAGATTTCCAATAGGCATTACAATGTCTCATCAAGAGGAATGACTGTGAGACATCACTGTAGTCTGGCCAAGGTGTTTAATCCACATGGGAGAATCAGAAACTCAAACGTGGAGGCAGTGTGGAAGCACGTACAAATGAAAAAAATTGTTACCGCTTGGGAAAGGCACAGTTCCACAAAAGGGATTAGGTTCTTTCTTAACAATTATTCGTTTATGTTTTGCAGTACAGATAAGAAGAAACAAAGACAATGTAATCTATCAATTCTGTATAGATTTATTACAGGAAAAAAACCCATCCAAACCCTAGTAGAATGAAAGGAAAATCCCAACATGTGTTTTGCATTCTTTACAGTATATTTTGATAATTCTGTTATTCTACAGAACTACTGCTGTATTTTCATAGCCAGTCCCAGTTCTGATACTTGTAAATGGTGAATACTGAAGCCAGATGTGTCGAATGATAATCTCTTTAATCTTTCAATGAAATGATGCTGACAAATTTTAAAGACGGTGCCAAACTAATGTCCTGCCAATTTCACTTTGATCACTTAGTTCTGACAATGGGAACCGGTTATCGGGTCAAACAAACTGCTCCTGTCTCTGGGGAAGACTGGCAGTGTGATGTGGAGACCCAAGTTGGAACTGGCAGAGTTTATTATGTGATGCAGACATGGCACGCAGACATGGCTGTATTGTCTGGTTCCTAAACACATGGCCAGGATAAAAGTATCCTCAAGAGCTTGCAAATGTTAGCTATTCTTGGCTGAAGAGTATCATGAGCAGACAAAGGCAAAACAAGATGATCCAGCTACTCAGTTGTTTCAGTCAAATCCAGTTTGGGTTGGATTCCTCAGAGAAAAACAAAAAAAACCCCAAAAAACCCAAGCCATTTTCTGTCTTCATAAGGTAGGGCTTTGGCCCTGAATGCCCTGGGTATCTACAGGAAACATCCATGATTGTGAACCAGATGATTCATACATGCAGTGAAACAGGATTGCAAAGGAAAACAGTTCAAATGGGAATTGTATTACTTACAGTAAGGCAGTCACAAATAATTTATGTACTACTGTATTAGCTGATCCATATAAATTTGAATGGAAATGAAATCACACTGTAAGAAAATCAGAAACCTAATGTAATTTATGCTACCACATCAAAACTCCAACTGCCATCCCAAAACCCACCTCTTCAGTCCTATGTGTGCCAACCCCAGGCCCCTCTATGCTCTCATGGTCCCATGTAGAGCCTCATGGTCTGCCATACAGTTCCCAAACTACCTGCCCTAATCTCTTGCAGCGGTACCCCAGGTTGTCTTCACTTTGCCTCTCTGAAATAGAAAGGTAGAAGATGTGTCTTTTTCTTGGGCTTATATGATGCTCCTGCTATTGCCACTTGTGGACTTTCTGAGGGTCATCTCATTGAGGAGGCAAATTGTGGGCATCTTTACAAACCCTCTGTGAAATTTCCATTACTTTGTGCTTCACTTTTTCAGGAATGAAAGAACAAATGGGCTTTGAGTGAAACTTATATACCCACTCCCTCTTGCTTCCTTTGCTTCCCAACACAGCCCACCAAAGCATGTCCTTTCCACCAGTAGGTCATAGCAACTAAATTTACTAACCTATTCTATCATCCAGCTCTGTAACAAAGCTGGTGAGGGATCTCGAGAACAGGTCTTATGAGGAGCAGCCAAGGGAACTGGGGAGAAAAGGAGGCTGAGGGGAGACCTTATCACTCTCTACAACTACCTGAAAGGAGTTTGTAGCCAGGTGAATGTTGGTCTCTTCTCCCAAGTAACAAGCAATAGGACAAGAGGAAATGGGCTTAAGTTGCACTAGAGGGGGTTTATATTGGATATCAGGAAAAATTTCTTCACTGAAAGGGTTATCAGTCATTGGAACAGGCTCCCCAGGGAAGTGGTTGAGTCACCGTCTCTGGAGGGATTTAAAAGACATGTAGATGTGGTGCTTAGGGACATGGTTTAGTGGTGGACTTGGCAGTGCTAGGTTAATGGTTGGACTTGATCTCAAAGATCTTTTCCAACCAAAATGATTCTATGATTCTATGATTTTATGATTCTATGATAATGAACTTTGGAGGTAATGAAACTCTAACCAAAGGCTTCTTGAATTTCCATC